ATCTGCGTTGTTCCTGATTCGACCTCTGAGGCGGACATTATTATGGTCGGTTTTTGCATATACACCCTTCATCCTGTATACATTTGCAAATTTAACATTTAATAATTTCATTCAGCTTTATATTTCAATTCAAACTATATCTTTATCTTCATATTATGTATATCCAATAAGAATTCATTAATTTATCAACTTACTTTTACTTAATGGATTAGTATTTGATTTACAAGGGTATTTTTGTCTACCAAAATATTTTTTCGAACTCGTGCTTTTAAAGGGAACATGATTTAATAATTTTGAGAATGATTTTGTCTCTTTAATTTATTTGGTGGATTTTGTAAATACCCCGCCCACATTATGTACATTTGTAGGTCTGCGTTGTTCCTAGTTCGACCTCCGGGGGTGATATTATTTGTCTCACTAATTTGTTTGGTTTTTACTTCTACACCATTCATCTTGTATACATTTATAATTTTAACATTTAATAATTTCATTCAGGTTTATATTTCAATTCAAACTATATCTTTATCTTCATACTATGTATGTCCAATAGGAATTCATCAATTTATCAACTTACTTTTACTTAATGGATTAGTATTTGAATTTCAAGGGTATTTTTTTCTATCAAAAGATTTTTCCAGAACTCGTGCGTTTAAAGGGAGTATGATTTAAAAATTTTGAGAACGATTTTGTCTCTTTAATTTGTTTGGTGGATTTTGCAAATACCTCATCCACATTATGTACATTTGTAGGTCTGCGTTGTTCCTAGTTCGACCTCCGAGGCGGATATTATTTGTCTCACTAATTTGTTTGGTTTTTGCATATACACCCTTCATCTTGTATACATTTATAAATTTAATATTTAATAATTTCATTCAAGTTTACATTTTAATTCAAACTATATCTTTATCTTCATACTATGTATATCCAATAGGAATTCATCAATTTATCAACTTACTTTTACTTAATGGATTAGTATTTAAAGAGAGTATGATTTTGTCATTATTTTGAGGGTAGATGAAAAGAAATTAAAAGTATTAGCTTCAAATTTTCAGGATAATTTTCCATCACGTTTATAACTCTTGGAGAATTTTTTTGTAAATACCTTCGAATAGGGAATAAAAAACTTTTGTAGAGAGGATCCGAATCCGATAATGAATCTCCATAAATGGTATCAAAACGAATTCCATGTGTTTTGCATTCAAATAATTACAAAATGAACATGCATTCATACTGGTGTAGCTAGGAATTAGAGCTTGAGGGAGCACTTCTTACTTTTTTTTCTAAAAAAATAATAAATAAAACTACCGTATCAAAAATCACATTTGATAATCAAGTTTTTGAGAGAAATTGGTAGGGTCTCAAACTCGAAAATCCCAACCAAATATTATATATAAATAATTGTTTATAAAAAAAACAAATACTCCCAACTCCAAAGGTACAGTTATTCAGTTTGGTTTCGTGATATTCGCAGCTAGATATACTCGCTCTAACTTACAATTGCAACGAGCAAAATCATGCAAACTTTACAAACTTGTAAACAAAGTGGCTAAACGCTAGAGAGCTTATTGTATGCTTATATAATTCGACATGTTTCAATTCATTAAAGGTTTAAATTTTTTTTATAAGAAAAACTTTGGGGAGTTCTGTACATAACCCCTCTAATTTTTTTAATCTCACATAAACCCCCTAAACTTGGAGGGTCTCACAAAAAACCTTGAAACTTTAAGGTAATGGCCCCATTTGAATGAGTTAAGGGAGTGCATGGGGATATGACCCCATTTGAATGAGTGGATAGGAATATGCTACCTC